AAGCGCGCCCCCAGGCCCAGGCACTGTGAAGGGTTGTGCACCCCCGCAGGGCCACCATCCTATGAACAGCCCTCTCAGAGGTGGCAGGGCCCAGGGGCCACTACTGGCCCCCTTCCCGGGAGCTGAAGTGAAATTCCTGCAGGAGGGAGCGAGGCGGAACCCAGCAGGGCCGGGAGCCACGCAGCCCTGGCGAGCCCCGAGCTCCGGGGAACAAGCGCTCCAGGCGCCCCTGGAGCAGACACAGTCATTACTGGAAACGGCAGGCCCGGCTGATTGAGGCCGCTTTTCTCAGCCTAACCCAAAATTACTTGCTCGATTGCTGGGGGCCTAATGGGAAAGGGAAGGCTCCCCGCAGGGAGCCCGCTGGTTCCCGGGGGCAGGCAGGGCCGCTGGTGCCTGCGGCTGGGAGGCTGCCCGGTGCCTCGTCCACCCCATGGGGTGCTGGCGCAGTCCTGGGGATGTGGGAACACCCAGAGGGGGCCACATCCCAGGCTCCTCCAGACAGCAGAGGCGTAATAAGGCCCATCAGTGCTTGCTGGATTCCAGTGACTAACCCTCCCTCACCACAGGATTTGTTAATACTGAAGAAGCTGTTGCCCCCCTACCTGCCCCCCGGCAGGATCCGGCTGCTGCCTCGGTGCTGTGCCTCTGCAGCTCTCAATCCTCAGCCAGATACTGTTGTATTCTGTGTTCATTATGGTAAAATATACCCAACCTGAACCTGATCTTTTGTCATCCTGCGTGCACAGACCAGGGGCGGTGAGTCCATGTCAGCCATCACCTCTCCAGAACCTTCCCTTTGCTCCAACCAACACTGTCCTCATTAAACACCAGCCCCTCCCTCCCGCCCTCATGCCAGCCCCACCCTCTACTTTCTGGCTCTGTGAACTTGACTCCTCCAGGGCCTTCAGGTAAATAGAGTCACAGATATACTCTTAGCATAGCATCTTCAAGCTGCATCCGTGTTGTTGCTGATGTCAGAATCCCTCCTTTTCATGACTGTATAGTATTCTCTGTGTCTACAGCTATTTCCTCCATCCACCCATCAATGGGCGCTTGGGTTGCTCCCCCCGTCAACTCTAGTGACTGAGGCTGCTACATGGTGTACAATTAGCCCTTCGGTCCCTGCTTTCAGTTCTTTGGGATGTGGCTGAAAGAGGAAGCACCCACCTTACTGTTTGCCATAGCAGCCGCCCCGGCTGACATCCCCACCAGCCCACAGGCTCCATTTCTCCACATCCGGACACACACGTGCTATGACCTCTGGTGATGAGAACCTCCCGGGGTGGGGGTGGGGGCGAGGCGGGAACCCCCTGTGCTTTTGTAGCTGTGTTTTAAGAACCCCTTTGCATGTCTGCCTCCCATTGGACCAAATCCCAGGGGCAAACCCCCTCACATCCCAAGGGCCCCCGCATGCACAGGTCACTCAGTCTGTGGCAATGACATCGGGTCAAGACTGAGTTCAATTGTTCAATTCCGGGGTCCGCCTCCACCTTGCCACCAACTCCCTCATCTGGACAATCGCTGCCTCCCCGGTGCCTACAGAGTGGCCTGGCATTCTCCCAGCTCGGGAAAGCCACAGTTTACTCTCCAAGTTGCCAAGCTGTTTGCCCACAGCAGAATCTCCTTCGCACCCCACCAATCTGCAAAACCAGTGATCATCCGGAACCTGGCTGCCTTCTCTGATGCTAACAAAGGCCTAACAGGAAACAAGTACTAGGGCCCGAGGCCTCCACCCCTCCTTGCCTTGCACCCTGAGCCTTAAGCCTGCCTGGGTGCTGGGAGGTTGTGCCCAAGGTTCCCTGGCATCTCTCTGGGAGAACAGGGCTCCCCTCACCATAGCCGGTGCCACGTCCCCCCCGACAGCAGGGGAGGCAGCAGGGAGTGTGGCCGCAGCTCCAGCTAGGCAGCCTGGATGTCGTCCTATCCCTGCCACTTCCTAGCTGTGTGACCTTAACTGAGTTGCTTGACCTCTCTGAGCTTCCATTTCCTCACCTGCAAAACAGAGGCAGAGATAGTACCTCTCTCCTAAGTTTCTGAGGTTGCATCACGAGTCCACAAAGGGCACCTGCCAGGGTCTGACAGGTGAGCACAAGCAGCAGACCCAAGTGTGTGGGTTTAATCCCAGCCCGGCCACTCACCGCCTCTGGGATGTTGAGCCCAAACTTCTCTGTACCTCGGTTTCCTCCTCTGTAAGCAGGAGCACCACACCCATGTCCCCAGGCTTTTGCGAGGATCGCATGAGAAGGTGCAAGCAGATGGGGGCCCGGGCCCCGTGTCCTCCGGGCATCACAGACAGTGGGCGGCCTGGGCGTGCCCATCCCACACGCTGCAGAGATGAGCTCTCAGCGAAGTGAAGCTCTACGCAGGAGCACCTGGGGAGGAGAGCAGGGCGTCCGGGAGGCCCTTCCAGCTGGAGTTGCAGCACCTGGGCCAGATGTCAAGGTTGTGCCCAGGGGCTGGCCTCTCAGCAGGACAGCCTTGTGAGTTGCTATAGGGTGAGGCACCTCCTGGGCATAAGCATAAGGAGCCAACTCCTGCACTGCAGGGGCAGGGAGGCATAGCGGGGGGCCAGTAACTGAGAGGGACCCCTGGAAAAAAGGAAAGACTAGCCTAGCATAGGGGAGCCCAGCATAGTAGAGGTACCACACATGGGGGACACTGGCATGGCAGAGGGGACCCAGCATGGCAGGGGAGGCACTGACATAGCAGAGGGGGCCTGGCACCGCAGAGGAGCCTAGCACCCCAAGTGCAACTTCTCCATGCTAGACAGCCAGGGCCAGCCTCCCCGCAGGACTCCTCCTTCCCGCCAGGTCCACTCTGGCCGGAGGCGGCACAGTCCCGGGCAGAGCCTGTGGGCACTCCCAGGGCAAACAAGCAGAGCAGAGAGAACCACGCTGAAGGGGTGCCCTGCTCCACACCTGGCCGACACCAGGCCGACTCTTGGGGGCTCCGAAGGGTGCATGGAGGAGAGACCCCTCCCACTGGGTGAGCTCCCAGCCTAAGGGGGGAGGCGGGCCCAGGCTGACGGGGACAGTGGGGGACAACCAGAGGCTGATAGGAAGGGTGGAGGGGGCGTCCCCAGCAAAGAGGTCGAGGAGATTTCCTGGAGGTGCGCTTGGAAGGAGTGAAAGTGAAGCAGCCAGTTACTCAGTTACAAGGGGAGCAGGAGGGTGAGGGCCTGGCACCGAGAGCTGCCCTCACACCCAGCGTCAAGCCAGGGCGCAGAGAGGCGGCCCTGCGGGCTGCAGTCTGCCCCACAGGCCTGCCAGGCATGGTCAGCAGCAGGGAGGCCAGGCCTGGTCAGCAGGCCCGGTGCGGTCAGCAGCGGGGAGGCATAGCAGCACACAGCCCAGGGCCTGGGGAGGCTGCCCCGGAGGGGCCCCGCATGGAGTGAGGTGAAGGAGCCACAGGGCGCGTCACCTCAGGGTCTGGGCCACAGGCTGAGCCCGGGTGGTCACAGGCCGGGTGTGCATTGGGGAGGCCACTGGGCTCTGTGCTCTGACACGTCTGACTCAGCATCACCATGCCCAGCACCTCCTTCCTTCTCATCCCAGCTGCCATGGAGACCTGGCCAGGGACGCTGCTTTCCTGCAGAATTGTCTCGGCGCGGCCACTTGCCTGCTGGGTATGGATGAGTCGGATCGCAGGTCTCGGAGATTCCAGAGTTTTCCTTTCATCTGCAGCACCTCCTCCCCTCGCAGGGCTCCCGGGGGGCAGTGCCACCCCCCAGCGCCACCTGGCACCCAGGGTTCTGGCTTCAAAGGAGGGCGAGGGGGGGGTCCCGCCGCGGGAGGCAGGGGCTGGGGATAAATGCGTGATTCATCCCCAACACGAGCCACCATAAATAATGAACCATTTGGGACGTGGTGATTCAGTGTGTCAAAATATAGAAAGGCCACTTAGTATTGGCGACAGAATTAGATGAAAGGCCTCACTCCCGGTGGAGCGGCAGAGCGTGCCCCACCGCCAGCCGCAAGGGAAAACCTGAGGCTCCCAAGACGCCCCAGGCCACCTTCCCAGGCTGCCCTCCCCGCCCGAGGGCACCGCCCCTCCCACATGCGTGTCAGGAGAACAGCCGCTTCCCCAGGAAATCAGGAGTTAGGAGACTCCAGGGTGCCAGTCAGCTTCCGGCCGGCCGGGCCGGGCCTGGCGGGCTCCTGAGGCGGGGATGCAGCGGGAGCAGCTCTCGGGGGAGTTGAGCTGGAGGGGCCGGGGGACCTGGCTGCAGTGGGACGCAGGACCGCAGCTTGGGGTTGCTGGCGGTGGCGTGCAAGCCCTTAGAAAACACACTCCTGTTCACCAGAATTAAATATTAAAGCATCTCGTGAAACCAAGAATGAATCTATAACTCTTTACGCATCTTAAATTGACCAAGAAAGCGCCGCGCCGTCACTTTCACGCCCGAATCCCTCTCTCCAGAGCTCTGGGAGCTGCGTGAAAAAGGATTAGGCTTTGTTGCAAGTAACACGTGTAGGGGAAGCATATTTTTTTCGTCGTTCGTCTCCCCGAATGTTCGATGCCTTAATGATTTTATGACTCAGAATTGTTTATTCCTGCCCCCTGGGTCTCCCGCGGTTACAGCAGGAGAGTAATGGACATTTTCAAAATGGGAGCGGCTCCTGTTGATCTTTATTTAATCTGCTCGGCAGAGGCCACTGAGCTGAGCGGCTCCCTTTCCCACCCCTGGGGGTGGGTGGTCTGGGCTCTGTTGGGAGCCGAACACCTGCCCCCCCAACTCTCCCCTCGTCTCCCCAATCATCGCTGCAGAAATCGTGGTTCCAGCTCTGCTGCTAAATTCCCCCGCCTTTGCTTTTCTCAATTCTTTCTTTTTCCAATTATTCCCTACAGCTCTGCCTCTCAACGCATTTACATAAGAACCAGCCTTCATGGATGCAGAACACAAGTGAATCTTCGTGTTCTAGAATGTCACACGAGGAAATCGCAGGACAGAAGCACCATTCACTACCTCATGAATTCACTCATTATTTGGTGACTGTCTCTGACATGCGCAGGGTCCTGGAGATGTACAGGTGAGCAAGATGGGAGTGTGTAGGTGCTGGGACGTAAAGCCAGACCATAATCAATGACAGTCACGTGCCACTTAGACGATTTGGTCCATGAAGGACCACATACAACAGCGACCCAGGGGGCGCCCCCATCTAACCTCGGTGTGTAGTGGCTGTACTGTCCGTGCTGTGATCACACCCTAGCAGCACATTTCTCAAAAGTGTATCCCCACCTTTAAGCAACATATGAATGTACACACCTAAATGTGAAATATTTCCTGTGATGTGCCGTAGGTGAGGGTGCCATGGTACTATGAGCACATTTAATGGGGGAGAGGGCACCTCATCAGGAAATCAAGGCAGACTTCCTGGAGGAAGGGCCAATTGTACTGAGAGAGGGCTGAGTGCCACTGATTAAGCAAAGAAAGAAGGGAAGGAACCCGTATGCAGTGGAAAACAACTGGCATCAGCCCGTATGGGCGAAGGAGATGTCACACACCAGGGACTGAGCAGTCCAGAGGGGCTGGCAGGAAGCAGACGTGAGTCTTCGACTGGACTGGTGGGGTCTGGATTAAGCCAACCTTCCCTAACCTGGTGAAGATTTTTGTTTCCACTCTCAAAGGAGTGGATGTCATTTCATATTTTATTTGTTTGTTTATTTTTAGGGGAAAGAGAGGAGGCTTCTCTTTTTTATGTTCAATCCTTCCAAATGACTTGCTTTTTTAAAAAAAAAAAAAAGTTATGAGGTGCATTACCATTACTTGAAACTAATTGATTGAAGATCAGATTCTTGCTGGGCCTCCCCTGTGGTGCAGCGGGTTGGGTGCTGCACTGTGAAGCTGTCCGCAGCCTCTGCAGCACGAGTTCAATCCCCGGCCAGGGAGCTACCCACATGGCACAGCAGACCTCTCCTGTCTTGCCCGCTGCTCCCCTCAGCAGTGTATTTCAGTCAGTCTGCCTGTTCTGCTCCCCACTCTGTCTCTGGTGAATCCTCTCACCCCCCACACATCTGGCCTGTGCCCCAGTTCTTGTATGCATGAATAAATAAATCTTTTAAAAAAATTTAAAAAGTTAAAAAAAAAAGAAGCGACCCCTCCCCTACCCTCAGGGCGTCCCTCGAGCTGCAGCCATGGGCACAGGAAGGAGAGAGCACCCCTGAGCCCAAGGCATGGCAGCTTTCAAGTCATCCTTGAGAGCCGGACTTGAGCATCGGCAGGGAATGAGAAATCTGGTTTGCCCCAAGTGAGGCCAGCACTGGAATAGGAAGATGGAACAGAAAAGACAGAGGCAGTGACTGGGGAGAACAAAACCCCATAGCAGGCTCCTCCCCACTGAGTTCAGACTTTCTGTAATGGGCACCCACCCCCGCCACCCACGGTCCCCCACCTTCCCCCACCCCACCCCGGGTCTCTAGTGCTTGTGGGAGAAGAGCTGAGACCAGGAGGGAGGGCGAGGCCCGGGGCCCGCGGGAGAGGGGCTCGCAGGGCTGGAGGTGACAGCCAGGCTGCCTCTGCGCCCCAGCTGACCTTGCTCCTGCCTCACGTCCCGCCCAGGCCTGTGCCCGTGTCTCCTCTCGGCCCCCCAGGACCCTCCCACGGGCTATACCTGTTGATCCTTAGTGGCGTGTGCGACGTCTCGGACCCCCGGAGGGGCTGTGGCCTGGGAGCAGGAAAGGGCACCTGAGGTCCGACTCGCGTCACAGACAGGACCTGCACAGAACCGCCCAGACCCGGCGCTGCGGTGGGTAACGAGCCCAGTCAGTCATCGCAGGGAGCTCCCCTCAGCCGGCAGAAGCAACAGGCGCCGAGCCACTAGCATGTTGTCCCTCATGGCCTCGGCTCCTCGAGGCCAACCCCACCTTCCCAAACCCAGGGGAAGGTAGTGATGGGGGGGGCGGCATCCTGTGTTCCATCAGACTTAGCCCCGGGTGGGCAATGGCAGCTCGCTCTGTCCTAGTCTCCCGCGTTCCCTCTACCTGGAGTCTCCTTCCCTGTTCTCGTCACCTGGCTGAGCCTATTTATCCTTGAACACTGGCCCCAGGCATCACCTCCTCCAGGAAGCCTCCCCTGACCACACAGGGCTCCCACGCCCAGGCAGTTAGTCTCCCCCCCAGCCCTGGCCTTCCTGGCCCTGTCCAGGCTTCAGCCCTCGAGTGCACCTGGCCTCCTGGCTCTGGCTCCACAGCTGGCCCCGGCCCTGGCCCTGGCCCCGGCCCCGTCCTCCTGCGCGGTCAGGGCTGTGCCTTATCTGCCCCTCCCCCACCCCGACTGGGCCCTGCCTCCTCCCCTCCACCCCTCCTGCCCCCCGCTGCGGTCTGTGGTCCCCAACACGGAGGGTCCCACTGGGTGGGCCGATTCCGGGTTCTCTATGGCCCACGGGGCACCAGGGTGCAGGGACAGGGGCTGGCCAGCGTCTCCCTCTGGGCACCGGCTCTGAATCCTGCCCCAGGCGCTGCTCCAGGCCCTCTCCCGGTTGCCACAGAAACTGCCAGGCGCCGGGGCTCTGGGGCTCTCGTCTGTCCGTGACAATCACTAATACGGGCTTCCTGGGAACAGGCCCAGCTTGTTCCAAGGAGCCCGGAGAAGCATGGACGGAAGGAGAGGGAACAGCTCGGGACACGCTCCCTGCCGCTGACTGGGCTTGCAGCGGGGGCCGCGACCCCCAGGCCCTCTGCTGCCTCCCTCCCCTGCTCTGTCTGTGGGGTGGGGGAGGGGGGCGGTGGCGGGGGGGCGGGGGGGGCGGCGGGGGCTTCCTGACCGGCTGTGCCTTGGGTGAGGACATGGTCCAGATGGCAGGGCAATGCGGTGTGTGGCCCTGACTGGGATTTGTATTTTAGAAGAGAATTCTGAAGGCTGAAAAGAATGCAAGATTCCAAGAAATTAACCCCAGTGGTTACCTTCCAAGGGGAGCAGGGAACAGCCCCCTGCGCCGAGAGTGCAGCCCCTTCTCTCTGGCCCCTTCTTGGGCTTGTCCCTGTCCACACCGCTGGCCCCTGGTGCAGGCCGCACTTGGCCATGGCCATCATCAGGGGCCCAAACCTGGCCCTCACTGGTGACCGCATCTCCTGGGAGAATCGACCTCGTGTGATCACCCAACCACGGGAGCAGCCAAGGCGGGTTCCCGGCCATCCCGGCTGCAGCTGGCGTGGCCGCCCACACTGTCCCAGGGACTGTCCCTCCCCTTCCCCCGCCCTGCCGCGGCCTCCCTGCTGGCCGCCGTGGTCCAAGCTCGCCCGCGGTCCTCAGACCACGCGCTGCCCTCCACGCCCTCCGGCCCCGTCTCGTCTGCTCTCAGGATCCAGCAGAGCACTGGGACCTTGAAAGCACTGCGTTTTCCAATGCGAGAACACTGTGACTCGGTTTATTAAATTCATCATGAATTTCTTTTTATAGTTTTCCACATCTACGTCTGCACATATTTTGTTCCACGGATGCCGTCGGTATTTCAACTTTGGGGAAGCGACTGCAAAGAGTATTCGATTCAATTTTTACTCATTCCTTGCATGCACACAGAGATGTAATTGGTTTTGAAATTACCTTTATTTGGAAATAATTGTAGAGTCACAAAAAATGCTAAAATAGTACAGAGATGTCCTGGGAAAGTTCACCCAGCTGTCCCTGGGCTGGCATCTTGCAGGGCCTTTGTCCTGGAAGTGGGCGACGTTCAGCCCTACCGAGGAGCCGGCTGAGGCCAGGCGGGACAAGGGCTTCGTCCTGAGCCCCCAGGAGCTGGACCAGCTGCTTCTCTCCGCAGCGAGCGCTCCGCACCGGCCCAGGCGCTCTCTCCGGGCCGGCTCGCGCCACGTCCTTGCTGGGCGCTGGCCGCCCGCTCCCTCGAGCTTCCCAGCTCCTGGAAACGCCCCGTCATTTGCCACCAGCATCTCTCGCTTCTTTCTTTCCAAACATGACTCAGAAGATGAAATGAGGCGTTTTGGAGTAAATGATGGGACTGAATTATTCAAACTCCCCCAGATTCTGAAATGACTTCAATGTGTTTATGTTTTGCATTAAGCACTGAAATGGGCCGAGCGTTCAGAGATTTATCTTAATTTGTGAAATGCTTCTGAGTTCCGCACTCCAGCCTGGGACGACCCGAGACACCGCTGCCCAGGCATCTCAACTGGTGCCCACTTCCGGCTACTCCCGCGTCCCTCCCTCCCAGTGGAGCTGGACTCTGGTTGGGAGGTTGAAATCTAATGCTCGCTCCAATAAACCCACTGATGCTGCTCTCCTGAGGCCCCTGACGTCCCCTCACAGCGCACCACAGAAGTGCCCTGTGACTTGTGGGACCTGGCCGTGGGGGCTGCAGGAGGAAAGACTCCCGTGTCGGGGTCTCACAAGTGCCCTGGCACAACGTAGGCATGCTTGCAAGAGATAGTCCCAGAATTGTGCCCACCCTGCTCCCCCAGTTCTCAGGCCCTGAGCAAAGAGGAGAGGTCCCCACTCTGAAGAAATGCAGGGAGGGACGGAATGGCCAGAACATGGACTGGGGGGGTGGGGCCAGCACTGTGGGAAGCTGGTACCCACCAACGGAAGGGAGAAGCCTCTGCAGCTCTGAGGCAGGGCAGAGCGTGAGAACATTCCAGCCTCTCTCTCCTCCTGTACTGGCATCTCTGGCCAGGGCTTCCCACCAGCCAAACCCACTGTGCCTTGGGGGATAGGTGAGTCATTGACAGAGCCCATGCAAGCCCTGGCGCCCAGACAGGGCAGGGGCAGCAGGGTATGCACAGGGAAAAGTCCACTGGAGCCACCGTCTGAGAACTCTGGCTTGTCCCCTAAGCCCATCCATCAGAGAAGGGCCTCTGCCTCCAGGTGTGTCCACGCTGACCTTCATGGGTTCTCAGAGGATGGTGTCAAGTCTGACCCCAGATGGTAGGAGAATGGGGCACAGAGTCCTCCAGGGGTCTTGGAGGCATAAAAAGATCCTTCCTGCCTTCCTCCTGCCTCCATGCTGGGGCCCCTCACGAAGGGTATGTCCTGCCTCTGCTGCCAGCACCACGCCCCCCTCCCCCAGCGTCAGTGGGGCCCTGCAGTGCCGGAAGCTCCCACTGCGGCCCAGCGTGGCAATGATGGGCCCGGGCTTCCCGTTTGCTCTCCAGACCCGCCACGGAGGCCTGGCCAGAGGGCCAGGGGTGGAGCATGGACTGGAGCCCAGACTATAAGCTCACCCCTCTACAGACTTCATGGCCCAGAGAGGCTGAGCTCTTGCGGGACTGTCTACCCACGGCCTCCATCCACTAGGCCACAAAGCGACCCCCAGGGTGGCTCTGGCGCTGAGGTTGCTCTGGCACCATGACCTCTCACGGACATGGGCTCACGGATCTTCCATAGTGGTGTGGGAGGCTCAGAGGGGTTAAGGAACATGCCAGAGGTCAGACTGCCCTTTTCGCCATGCCTTTGTCTACCAGGGAAACCCAGAGGTTTGCTCTCTGAACAGGTAGGTAAGAGATACTTTGCCTCCATGGTTACAAACAGCCCTCCTGGTCACAGGTGGGTGGCCATGGAGTTGCTCAGACGAAAACAGGTGAGTTAGAGCAACAGAGACTGGGAAGTGTGAAGGGGGTTTATATCACCCCCATCACCACCACCGTCATGCTGCTCTCCCTACCGCCCCTCTACAGGGAAAGGGGCAAACATTCCTGGGTGCCTGCCATGCTGGAGGCCCTGAGCAAAGGGCCGGGGCATGGAGAGGGATGAGGCCCGGCCTGGCCCTCAGGAAGCCCTCCCGGTGTAACCACGCTCGAGCCAGACATGCCGACAGCTCACCTCACCCGCCGGCGCCTCGAGAAGCCACTGTCCACGCTCACCTGACACAAAGCAGAGAGCGGAGCCTGAGGGACACAGCGGAGCTGCTCTTCTCAGCCCCCGGAGGGGCAGGGAGGATGCGGGGGCTGTGCTGGGGACTCCCCCAGGCTGAGCCTGGCCCCGGCTGCGTGCCCCCAGACACCCCGGGCCGGCCGGCCAGCTCCCAGGGCGGAGGCTCGAGTCCTGGCAGAGCATAAACTCGGGGCGTTTGCCACCGCCCCCTTGCCCTGCGGGACACTGTCACCTTCAGCTCCCAGGCTCCGACGCGCTCCGTTTAAAGGACGCGCTCCGTTTAAAGGACGCGGAGTCCTCGCTCCTCCGGGACAGCGCCTCAGAGCAGGGCTCGCCCACCTGCGGGTCCTCAACACAGACAACCGGGCCCACCCCACGCTGTTGAGTGGGCCGCGCGTGGGGCCCGAGAGGCTTCATTTCCAGGGAGCAAGAGGCTAAGTGGCTGCCGGTCCGGGGGCTGCACCTTGAGAACCTCTGCACTGGGGGGCACTGAGCCAGACCCTCCCCCCGTCCCCAGACGCGAGCCGTGATGGGGGGCCTGGGCACCGGCCACTTCCTCTTCAGGACGAAGTGAGGACGCGGGCATGTCCATGCCCGTCACAGACCCGGGCCCAACGGCGCCTGCTGGTTTCAGAAACTGGGCATGGGCGCCGCGCTGCACTCCCCGCTCCCCCCAAGCCCCCCAGGACGGTGGGAGGCAGCAAGGCGGGGAAGGTGTGTGGGAAGGTGTGTGCGTCCCGGCGGTGCTGCCGGGTCAGAGCTGCGTCCCGCAGACAGAGCCGGGCGGGTTTCCATGACAACGGGCCGAGCTGTCCGGAACTGTAATTAACTTCGAGCTGATCATTCTCCGGACCCTTCCGGTGGGCGCGGCGGCGGCTCCCCCACGGGGGGAAGTGACGGGGGGTTATCTGAGCCTCCAGGTCACCTCGGCGGCGCTGGGGGCCTTTGGGACATGCCGTGGGAGCCTGGAGGGCACCCCGGGGCTGGGCAAAGACCCCCCAGAGGCCGACTGCTCGGGGACCTGGCAGGGGCCCTGCCCCCCAGCACGTTCACCTCCTGGGTACATGCGGGAGTCTGGGGGCGGGAGAAGGGTCGGGGACCCGGGGCGCCCGGGGCTGGGCCTGCCTCCTCAGGGGTTCAGGGGAAGGAAAAATAAATATTAAGCACACAAGGCGTCCTGAGACCCTTCCCCGGCCGCCCCACCCTGAGTGAGCGGCTGTGGGGCCATGGCCGGAGCTCGCGGGGGCGTCCCGGCCAGGCCCGAGGCACAGACAGGCAGACCCCGCGCTCTGGGCAAGGCCCGGCCGTCCTGACCCACACACACCGAGGAGCAAAGTCGGGGTGCCGCTGCTATCCTTCAGGAGCACCTCCGCCCTTCCCCGCTCAGGGTCCCCCCTGGACGAGAAGGGGAAGGACGAGATGGCCGCTGGCCCCGCCCGGGCCCCAGGGGAAGGCCGGCAGCGCTGACCTCGGTGGCACCGAGCTGAGGGGTGGTTCTGAGCCCACGCTCACTCTCAGGGTGCCCCCCAGCTCCTGGCACAGCACCCTGGAGAGAAATGGAGACGAGGCGGGGGCCCCCTGGAACCAGGGCAGCAGCACAACCTCCTTCCAAGCCGCCCACCCGTCCGGTCCCTCTGCCCTGACACAGCCTCGGCCGCTTCCCAGCGTGAGCCCCGGGGGGAGCCGCCAGCCGGCCTGGGTTGTCCATCTGGGGGTTGCCTTTGAGTGCTAGCCCCGAAGGGCTGGTCGACCTGGCTACAGGGTTCCCCGGACGCCCCGGGCAAGCGGGTTG